CCCTGCCCCTGCGGCGCTCGCTCGCCCCCGCGGCTTTCTCCGAGTCTCCCGGCGCCAGCGGGGCAGCTCGCTCTCCATGGGGCTGAGGGGCTGGCTGAGGACCGTGTGCTGCTGCTGCCCGTGCCAGTGCCTGGAGGAGCCCGCCGTGCCCGAGAAGGAGCCCCTGGTCAGGTGGGTGCGCGCCCGGCGGCGGGCGCGGGGAAACCGCGGCGCTTGTCGGAGCCAGGCGGGGGCTTGCTGTAAGTCACACCGGGGCGCAGTGGGAGCCCTTCCAGCCCTCCTTACAGGATATTCCTGTTCCTTGGGTTTGGTCCTTGGGCAAAATTTTTGCCCGAAAGTACAAATCCTCGGAGGCACCTGAGACCCAGGTGGATGCTGGTGGAAAGTTCCAAGAATTCGGGTGCAGTTTCCGGGCAGGGAAGCGGCGAGAGAAGTTCGCTTAGGGGTCCGTCTGATTAAGTACAAGCGCTCCTGACTGTATTTGATAGGCACAGTCCAGTGCAGCAGGCAACCGTGAGTTTGTCTCACCCAGGAAGAAAGTTGGACATTTTGCCATTCAATTTTATTACCAAAAGAAGACAATTCAGTGACTGAGCACAAGGACATGTTTTTCACATTTGATAATGTGTATTTTCTCAGTAGCATGCTGATTTATTACAGGTTAAGCTATCATGTGTGAGCAAACTTAATGCACTTTTGCAATGTGCTAAGTGGCTTTGCGAAGGGACCTTACAACGCAGTTTTGTTCAGGGCTTTAACTCTACTGAAATGAAGGTTCCACTAGGTCATGCCTCAGGGGTGAATGTGAGAGAAACAGAATATTTAAAATGAAATTAGGAAAAAGCATATAAAGTGGAATTCTAGGGTTGGGTAAGCTAATATTGAAGCCAGTGATTCTTATGATACCGTAAAGCTTTCACAAACTCTTTAAAAAGCATGACTTACCTTCTCTTACTCCATCAAGTTCAAACAGTCCCCTTGACTTTTGATATCTTACATAACCTCTTCCTGCCTGTCCACTCTTATTTTCCAGCACATTAAACATCGTACATACACTCCTTGGTTTAATCAGGCAGGCATCCTTGCTGCTCTAGGAGCAGTCCAACTTTTCTCTCCCAACTTGCTTCAGGTGGTGACCTTTATCCTTCCTTCTCCTTCCTAAATGCTAGTCCTCAAGCCCCCTCCCCCAGCAGTCCTCTTTGATTACTTTGCCCTTACTGTTCTCTCTCTCCTGTGATTTAGGACTTGGAACTTACCATCTGTCCCTCACTGTTCAGTGAGCACCCATGTATGTAAACATATATCATGTTGTTTTATATATGCATAAATATATAAACACATACATAAACAGTCATACACAAAATACATAATGTTTTTGTTTATACTAGCGAAGGGCATTCACTTAGATTATTAGATTATTGTGGACAGGGAGAAACCCGGTAACCTACCCCTTGTTTTATATGTAGTGGGTAAAATCTAGAATTTCTGCTTGGGTTGCAGATTCAGTTTGTAACATTCGTAGTAATACGATGCAGCCTTCAGCTAGGTCTCATCCTCAGAGCCTTGGGTCTTTCTAATTTTCTGTGGGATTGCCATTTGAGTCAATAGTTTTGGTTGTTTTAAAATCCCCACTGGTCTCCTGCTTTGACTTACACTGGAAGTCAGTGAGTTTTGCAAGGGATTTTAGGAAGACAGTCAACTGGGGCAGAATGGCACTGTGCTCATGAGTCATATTTAGCCTGGGGCTAAATCCAGACTGGGTGACCTGACACAAATTATGAAATTTATTTGTGCCTTAATGTCCTCATCTGTAAAATGGAGATAATAGTTTGTACCTCAAAGGGTTGCAGTGAGAAATGAAGTGAGCTAATCCATGTAAAGTGCTTAGCAGAGGGTCTGACACATAGTAAACACTCAATAAATTTTAGTCATTATTAATTATTCTGAGCATGTGAATATGAGTGGACTGGTCTGTTGTGGTTTCATGTCATTCTGGCATCATTTCAATATAACAATGTTTGGGAAGAGCAGCTTGTTGATGGACGTGTGGAGCAGTGGTGTGTGTGTGTGTGTGTGTGTGTGTGTGTAGGTACCTTCATGTTCTTTCCTATCCAAGTCATCAGAAGGTCTAGTTTCAAAAAATTTTTTTCATTTATTTTTTTATTTTTGTTAAAGTGTGAAATTCAGTGATTTTAGTATATTAACAAAGTTGTGCAGTTGTTACTACTATATAATTTAGAACATTTTTACCTCTCCAAAAAGAAGCCATGCCCCGGACCAGTCACCTGCTGACAGCCCCACTTCCCAGACAACCCCTAGTCTACTTTCTGTCTTTATAGATTTGCCTGTTTGGGACATTTTGTATATGTGGACTTTTTGCATCTGGCTTCTTTCACTTAGCATAATGTCTTGAAGTTTCATCATGTTGTAGCCCCTGTCAGTACATCATCCCTTTTTGTATTTGAATAATATTTCATTGTCTGGATATATTACATTTTACTTATCCATTCATCAATTGATGGGCATTTGGTGGTTTCCACTTTTTGGCTCTTATAAATAATGCTGCTATGAATATTTGTGTACATGTTTTTATGTGGACATATGTTTTTGATTTTTTGATTATATACCTAGAAGTGAAATTGCTGGATCATATAGTAATACCACATTTAACTTTTCGAGGAACTGCCAGAATGTTTTCCAAAGTGGCTGATTTTAAATAATTTTTTTAAATTTAAAATTTTTTGAACAATTTATTGGTGTGAGATTGGTTAATAAAATTATATAGGTTTCAGGTGTACAGTTCTATAATACGTCATCTGTATACTGTATTGTGTGTTCACCACCCCAAGTCAAGTCTCCTATCACCATTTATCCCCTTTACCCTTTCTTACCTCCCCCACCCCCCTTTCCCTCTGGTAATCACCATACTCTTGTCTATGTCTATGAGGGTGTTTTTCTTCCCTTTGCTTTGAAATCTTGATGTGGTAAAATCATGAAGGCAGATGGTCTTAATTTTTATTTTATTGAGAACTTCATTTTTCATGTTATCACATTATCTTTTTCAGTTAAAAAAAAAAGGCTTGGTAAAGGTTTGGTATAGACACCTCCCCTTCTTTCCCCCAACTAAATCCTTTGCTCTATTGTAAAACAGCAGCTTTCAAGTTTTATTTCATATCCCAAGATAACAGTGCCTGGAAGAGGTGTGGTCAGGGGGACAACATTTATCATTTGTGTGCATGGTCATCTCCAGTCCTTTCCAGAACGCACCGGGGACTCTTGTTAGTTCAAGAAAAATAACTCTTAGTCTCATTTGCCAGTCTGAGAATGCCACTTAGGCTTTTGACCTTGCCCGTTTTGCTTTCTCTGGAACCTGGTACGTGAAGGGGAATACCTGTCTCTTGTCCGGTTCGCATCTGCATTTCTCTCTGTCCCACTAGTTCTTTTTCCCTCCCTTTCTCTAGAAATATGCCGGGCCTCCCTGACTGAAAATTCATCCTGATATTGCCGTGGCCTTCGATTACCATCCTTTGCTTTCCTTTGTCTCAGGCACAAGTATTTTTAAAAGTGGCCAGCTGTACCCACCGCCTCCTTTACCAGCCCTCGTGATGAAATCTGGCTTCTGCCCCCGTGAGATGACATGAACATTGCTCTCTTGAAAGTTGCAAGGGAAGGCAGCCCGATGTTCCTCCTCAGTGTGCATGGAACCTCCGCGCCGGCCCTCCACGCCGCCTCGCGCGTTTCCTCCATCCCTGGCCTCTCTGGTTTTGCATTCTCTGCTCTCTGCCTATGATCCGTCTCATCGCTCGCTTTCCCTCCTGGTGTCTTTGCCGACGCCATACTTGTTACTAGACATCTTTTTGTTTTCTCTGCTTCTTAAGGTTCTGCTCAGTTCTGAAGGCCCATTTCAGTTACCACCTTTGCGATGAAGCCTTAGAAAGTCTCCCCAGCAGTTATGGTGTCTCTTCCTCCTTTTTACCCCTCGGGCCACATGCCTCATTCTGCCGGCTCACAGTTATCAGGTGGGTGCTGGAGCCCCTGCCAGATGGGAGGGACTAAGTCTTACCTTAGTTAGTATCGCTTCTTGTGCCCAGCACAGCCTTCAACGTGGAGTAAGAAGTGAATGAATACTTTTTCATTAATAAAAATTATAATAATGGCTGTTCATTTAGTAATTTCTTTTTTTGTGCAAATTTTAAAAATGTATCCTTCACTTAAAACGAAGTTCTGTGAAGGCTAACAGAGCAAACGGCCATACACTCAACACCCACCTTAAGAAACCTTTAACAGTGGGGTGCAGGCCCTCTGTTTTCCCCCCATAGGTACATCCATCTCCCACCTCCTGAGGCGGCCGGTACATTGAATCTGTGTTTAGCATTCTTAACTTTAAATAAATGGAGCCTACTGCATGTAGGCTATTGCATAAGTGAGATTTCTTTACACACATTCTGTCATTTAATCGTCACTATGATCAAATGAAATAGGCATTGTCTCCATCTTGTAAATGAGGAACCCAGAGCTTAGAGAGTTTAAATAATTGATTCAGTCACAACTGATAAGGCAGAGAGCCAGAATGTGAACCCATGTCTGTCCAATCCAGACCTCGCGTTGTAGAAAATTCAGAAAACTACCAAATAGTTCTTAAAAGTGATATAATATTTGTCTACTAGAAACTAGTGGAAATTACTTGTCTTAGCTTCTGTCCAGTTGGCCCCTTTCTCCTTCCTTCCTTCCACATCCATGTTAGTATAATTCTTCTACCTAGATGCAGAAGCAACCTGGCCCTGTAAACCAAGCCCAATGGGAATTCGGAGACCTGAGTCCTAGACCCAGCTCCTAGTCAGCTGTGGGATTTGAGGGAAGTCTCTTAACTTCATGGAACCTTCGTTTCTTCTTCTGTAAACTGGGGAGATCAGACTTCAATGTGCAATCCCGAAGGGCTGTTCCAGACTTGGTGCAGGTTGCCCTCTTTCTGTGGGCGTGTGCCAGCTGAAATTCTGTTTGGCATGGAATACAGCAGCAGCGAGACTGTCTGTAGTACTGGGAAGGAACTGAAGTTCCAGAGGATGTGAATCATGACAATTTGTTCAACGCTTTAGCTGGCCAGGGCTGCTTCACTAGTGAATAGTTGAGTAGTCATTGCTAACGCCAGGAAGCTTAAGAGCAAGTCTGGG